GAAGGCACTGAAAACCAATTAATTCATTCATTCATACAAAAATAATAATAAAAATAAAACACTGCAAGTTGCACGCTGGGACTGCAAAAAAAAAACCCCACCAAAAAAAACCACAGATACATACCCCCCCAGCCCAAACCTACCCTCCCAAACCCACCCAGAACAACTTTTTTAAAAGGAAAAAGCAGCACCTTACCTCCAACACCGTCACGAGGCCTCCTGGACTCCAACCGCTGCTGCAGGGCCTGGCCTCTGCCGCCACTATTGGGCCAGGGCTCGCCACTCCACTGTGGAAGCTTCCAGGGCTTCCAAAGCACTGGCACCCATAGGGCAGCCACAGCGGCATGGCCAGCCATGGCGGAGGGGGCCCCTACTCATGAGCAGATGTGCACCTGGTGCTTACTTGCTGCAGGGCCTGGCCTCTGCCGCCACTATTGGGCCAGGGCTCCAGCTGCCACTGTGGAAGCTTCCAGGGCTTCCAAAGCACTGGCACCCATAGGGCAGCCACAGCGGCATGGCCAGCCATGGCGGAGGGGGCCCCTACTCATGAGCAGATGTGCACCTTTGGCGGTGCTTACTCCTGGGTAGACCTGCATGGGTTTCCCCCCTGGATGGGCAGGGAGGGCACGGGCTCCCCGCGCCCAACCACGACCCAGAGCCAGCCACTTCTCCTTCCTCCTCCTGCGCTGCCTGCACGCCCCATCCACGGAGGAGCCCCTCCAACTCACGGAGCCCAGCCCAGGGCCTTCAACATCCCTTACTCACGAGCAGACCCGCACTTTCTGTGGCACTTACTCATGAGTAGACCCACCCCTCTCCCTCCTCCTGCTTGGCAGAAGTAAAAAAGTTCCCTGAACCCTGCTCTAACCATTGCAGGGAAAGAACTACAAAGAATCAGCCTCTTTGCCACCCGCGGTTTGAATTTCCCACCTTTTTCATTTGTAAGTCAAAGCTCCAGCCACAAGTCAAAGCAAAATTTTGCAGCCGGAGCTGTTCGTAAGTCAAGTTGGTTGTAGGTCAGGGCGTTTGTAAGTCAAGGCACCACTGTATTTCCCTGATTCTCCTACTGACTGCCCAATCAAGGAGAAGATGTGGATAAAACTTTTGAAATCTTAATTACAATAATTTAAAAGAGATATGACACATTCTAGTAGCAATGGGGAGGCTTCAACTACCCTTATGCCTGTTGGGAGGCACATTTTGCCAAACATGGCCCTTCCAAGAAATCACAGGCTTGTGTTGCTGAGAAATGTAGCAGGAAACTAGAAAGTTAGCTATCCTTGACTTGATTCTAAGCAATAGAGATGACTTAGTGGATGAATTGCAATAACAGGAACTTTGAGGGAAAATAGTCATTTTATACTTGAAGTTTTTTATTTCAAAAGAAGTAAAAGCCATGTGTGGTTGCACATTTGCTGGATTTTAGGAAAGCAGATTTTAATGAACAATGATAAGTAAGGTCTCATGGGAGAAAGTCCTAACTGGAAAAAGAGTCCCAGATGGGTGGGAGTTTATTTTTAAAAATGTCTTGTAAAAGGGAATTCCAAAAATACAACTACAGTTCCAGCAAAAAAAGGTAGAAGACTGCAAAAAAGACCAATGTGCCTTCCCAAAAAGCTCAGAGAGGATCTGAAAACAAAAAAGGACATATATAAGAATTGGAAGGAAGGCCAGGCCACAAAGGAAAAGTACAAACAGATAGCAAAGAATTGAAGGGATTGTGTTAGGAAAGCAAAAGCTGAGAATGAGCTGAGGTTAAGAAGGAATTCTAAAAGCTACAACAAAAAGTCATTCTTTAAGTATATACGTAGCAAACAACAGAGAAAGGAAAGAGTGGGTTATCTCTTTTTTAAAAAAAACTGGGTAACCTTCATTTCAGCAAGATCTCAAAGAGCTCCAAAGGCAAGGGCTTCTTAGTGGATGGAAGAGAGATCATTTCCCCAAAATCAATGAAGCCTGGAGTAACGGAAGTCCAGGTATTATAGTCAACTCAACAGATTTTATTGAAGAGGATAACATAGAAATCATTAAATGTAGGGCTGGATCAAAATAATCACACTGACCATTTCATTTTCATTTCATCTAGAGTCAAATAAACCTATTTTTTTTGTTTCTGTTGTGATTTGGGGTATGAGATGAAATTCTTTGAGGGGAACAACCCAGAACAGTGTTTGAATACCACATATATAGCTTACCCAAATAGGACATTGGTCAGTGTAGCACTCCCCCAGTGTCCTCTGTTTGTTTTCCCTCAAACACAGGTCCACCTTCGGATACAATGTACTATTTACTCCCTTTATACGCTGCCACCAGTGGATCTTTATCTACAATATATAAAATATGTTTCTTAGACCTGGGCTGTCAAATATAACAGGTTTATTTATTGTTTGACTGGTAAATCACAGATATACCTCAGTCATAGATGTTCTTTTATTGTTCTGTTATTAAACTTGGATAGGATTACACATTTGCTTGTTTGTAGTCATTCACATTAACCACTGTAACAATATCTTATGACTGTCTATCTATTTTCTATTACTTTTATCTCTTATCTATTCTCTAACACACACCAAATTTCCAGTCTCAGTCTTGACACTTCAAAACCCTTCTCTAACTCTCCTCAGTCTCCAACTGTTCTCCTCACTTCGCCCCTCCTGTCCTGCCATAGGCTCCTGCCCTAGAGCTCCATATGACGGACAGGTGTGACTTGGGCATTCCACCACAGTCAGTTATTAGTAATTATCAGGAAGTCAATAGCTTTGGCCTATTAAGTTAACACAGAGCTAACTGTTATTAGTATTAGAGGCATAGCTAGATGCCACTACTCTGCACTTTATATACATTTTTCCAAGCAATCATTGGAAGACCGAAAGTTTGTAATTATGGCCAGATAGGCTATTATTACCTTGGATAGCTTTAAAAAAATTAAAGGAGATTAAATGCCACTTCATGGAGGTAAGGGCTATCAGTCTTGACCTAGCTGTAGCTGATAATTAAACCTCCATGTTCAGAGGCAGTACCATGTTCAAAGGCAAGTGCCAAGGCAAAGAATGAATGACTTGTGATAAATTAGGCACTAGCACTAACTTAGAGAAAATGTGTGCAGAGAATTATTGCTATAATGGTTTTTGTGGGTTTGGGGGCTGTTTGGCTGTGTTCTGGAGTTTTTTCTTCTGAAGGTTTTGCCAGTTTCTGTGGCACTCCATTCTGTGCAGTGGCCATGAGGAGCCCCCTCAGCCTGGTTATAGTGAACTTCTACATGGAACTTTAAAAAAAAAAAAACATGCCATAGCTTCAGACCCTTCACACCCACATTCTGTCCGATTTTTGGATAACAACTTTGTAATTTGGAACCATGGTGAAGAAAAACTGGAAGAATTTCTAAACCATGTCAAAAACATCTACTCAAATATACAATTCACCATGGAAAAAGAAATAAAGGGCCAACTCTACCCAGTCATAAAGACAGGAGATCACTGCACACAAAAAACTAGCTAACGACACCCATCAATCACAGTCACAGATCATCTCCCCCCCTTATCACAACAAAACACCCATAACAAAAAACACCCCAATCACAGGAAACACCCAATCTCCTGAAAATAAAAAAAAACTGATCCCACTGCTACAAATACTCATCAATCCCACACACTACACCAGAACACAAGAGTTCTAGCTCCTGTCCTCTGAAGATGCCAGCCGCAGAGACTGGCGAAACGTTAGGAAGAAAACCCTCCAGAACATGGCCAAACAGCCCAAAAAACCCACAACAACCATCGGATCCCAGCCATGAAAGCCTTCGAGAACACAATTATTGCTACCTTGGGATTCTTTGAATGGCAGCTGCATGGGACTGAGTGGGTAAATCACATCAGCTAACGGATATTACAGGGTGAAGATAGGTAGTTGTCTGGGGAGAACACTGTGCACATGTTCAAGAGCAGAGATGGGCACAAATCGCATTTTGGTGTGATTGGGCCCACAGGTATTGTGCAGATGCCTCAGATTCCCCTCTCTGCCTCCGTTTGCAGGTCTCCACTCAGATGAGGCGGTGAGGCAGGGAAGCCCAGGGCACTGCCTCTGAGTGGGTGCCTATGGGAGGTGATGTGGAATACAAGGCACCTATGCAATAGTTGTGGGCCTGATCCATCAAACCTCTCCAAAGCACAGTTTGTGCTCATCTTTATTTAATTGTCATTGCTCTAGAAAATAAGATCTTGATTTTTAATCACAAAATAAGAGAAAGAAGCCTAAAACAAGAAGTGTGTGTCTTGGCACTAATCACCAGGGAGTTTTTACCAACCCTTCCTGCAGATGGGAAGGCCACTGACTGCTAACATAATCACCTAGACATACACAAAACAATAACAGATCAACTGTTTCCTGTGTTTTTCATAGATGGCCTGATAAAAGATTCTGCTATATCTCAAGCAGAACTTTCTAACTTTCGCAAGGTAGAAAGAGGCAAAGATTTGCTCAGTGAAATAAATGTGAGAATGACATTTTCTGAAATGTTTCTGCTAGAATTGCAGGGTGGATTTTATATTTCTTTGTCAAATCATTGTGTATCTTCAGAATCAAAAACACTTCAGGAGATCATCTGTGTCTTGTTGAAATGTATGGGAAAAACTAATATTTAATTAATTAATTAATTAGATTTCTACCCCGCCCATCTAGACCAAAGGTCTACTAATAGTGTTGCACTGGTTTCGTTCATTTTACCAAAGCTTGCAAAGTCAACTTAGTACAAAGTACAGTGATCTTCATATTCTCTCTTGAATTAAATATACTGTCATGTTGTCTTCCTTTTTGTTGTCATTCAGGAGAAAAGATGCTGGCCTCCTATCTTACAAGGATCATCTACCCATTACTCAAGTGATGGTTGGAGATATTAGTCGGCCTGCATCAGATGCCAAGTTAACGGTGGGCCCTCTGCGATGCCATGGAGACCGTAGGTTTTCTCTTCCATTCTTTATTTAAATTCCTTATTTTCCATCACAGTGACACCAAAGTAAAAAAAATGTCTTCCCAATATAATTTTGGCATCTATGGGTTGTTGCTAGTTGTGTACCATATAAGGAACTCTCTGTCTCTCAACCTCTCTCCCAAACATTTTCAGTTAATTTGATTAGTTCAACATCAGTTCAAACCTTCCCACTTAGTTTTGGTACATCTATTGTATCTGCATGCTTCGCTAATCAATAGAAAACAGAACTCCTGTATTCTCAAATGCAGGAAATGCAGCACAGAATAGGTAGAGAAGTAGTACAGGAATACCTGGCTACTGTAAATGAATTCAAGTCTCCAGGGCCAAGAATATTTTTAAAACTGGCAGAAGTAATTTCAGAAGCATTGGCAATAATATTTGAGAATTCTTGGAAAACAGAAGTCCCCACAGACTAGAGGAGGGCAAATGTTGTCTCTATCTTCAAAGGGGGGGGCAGACTCAAATAATTATCACCCAGTCAGCCTGACATCAATTCCCAGGAAAATTCTAGAGCAGATCATTAAAAGACAGCTTGTTATTAATTAGAAAGCAATGCTGTCATCACTAAAAATCAACACAAGTTTCTCAAAAACAAGTCATGCCAGACTAATCTGATTTCTTTTCTTTTTTTTTCTTTTTTTCTTTTTTCTTTTGATATATGAAGGGAACGCTGTGGATGTAGCATACCTTGATTTCAGTAAGGCCTTTGTCAAAGTTCCCCATGACATTCTTGCAAGGAAGCTAGTAAAATGTGGGCTAGACAGTGGATTTGTAATCAGTTGATTGATCGAAGCCAAAGGTGCTCACCAATGGCTTCTCTTCATCCTGGAGAGAGGTAACTAGTGGGGTGCCTCAGGGTTTTCTTCTTGGCCCTTTTATTTAACATCTTTATCAATGACTTGGATGTATTGGGGTTTGTAGTCCTCTTTGTATATAGCAGAGTGCACAATGGCAGAGACTTAACTTGAATAAAGTTACAGTTATTTATTTTACAAAAGCATGATTCACATTTAATTCATATGAGTTTAATACATGTAGTCCAAAAGATATAGCAGTTTTTCATTGCTTATTACTTGCTTTTAAATTAGTTGCTTGTAGCCTCTGTAATTTCAGGGCTCATCAAATCCTTTAACAGTTTATTTTCTGTTTTCTCTCACCCATTAGGAAATATCCATGCAGACTCCTCTTATTTCACCAGGCAGCATATTTTCATTCTGTTGCTCCTTCATCTTCTGCAGCTTCCTTCCTTCTTCCTCTCTCCTGCCAGTCTGTTTCTTCTACTGCTCATACTTCCACTCTCTCACACACACACATACTTTGCTGCTGCTGCCACCTTTATATTGATCTTATTCAGAGGCATTCAACATTTCTCTTTTTTTTCCCCACTGGCGTAATTAATTTGATTTATTTAAATCACAGCATATAAACAGGGAATGAGTTGCATAAAATGAAGGCACAATGTAAAAAAAAGAGGAAAATTGTGAATTTCTAACAGTGTAATACAGCGATTAAATGAAAAGTGTAATACAGAACAGTCTGGATTAAAGTACAGTGGTGCCCCGCTTGACTATTATCCCGCTCCATCGCAAAACGATGACTGAATAGGGAAAATCCATTTTACGACAATTGGTTCCCTGCTTCGGGAACCGATTCTTCGCATTACGACGATCAGAAACAGCTGATTGTTGGGATTCAAAATGGCCGCCCGCTGTTTTCTGGACCTATTTCCGGAAGACAGCGACCGAAAATGGCTTCCCCATGGAGGATCTTCGCTGGACGATGAGGTTTTTCGCCCATTGGAACACATTGAACCAGTTTTCAATGCATTTCAATGGGGTTTTTTCTTTCGCTTGACGACGTTATCGCTTAACAGCGATTTTAACGGAATGGATTATCATCGTCAAGCGGGGCACCACTGTATCATATTAAATTATAGTTACACAAAATTAGCCAGTTAACTCTTTCTAAAACATTATATATGCCTCTAATTTTCTCTAGTTTAAGCTCGTTATGTTCCCAGCTGTTTAACAGTCTTCGATGTAAAGATTGAGATAGAAAGACATATAGTTCCCATTTCCAAAGGACAAGTTCTTGAAGATCTAGAGCAGTGGTTCTTAACCTTTGTTACTCAGATGCTTTTTTCTCTCTTTTTTTTAAAAAATATTTATTTAACAGGGATAGAGGGTACAGAAAGAAAGAGGGGATAGGAAAGGAAAAATGGTTTTGGGGGATAGGAGAGCATAAAGTATAACATCATCCAATCAATTCATATTACTAATACATATCAACTTTTTGCTTTTTCACAGTTTGATTACCCTCCTGCTTTTATCTTATCATTTAATTTTAATTTTATTCTATGTTATTCCAACATTGTCTGGTAGCTGCTGCCATTTATACAATACATCCCATCGTTCAGTTTCTTTTTGAATTGAACAGTCTTTCAGCCCATCTGACAGAATATCCATTTTTTTCACTTCCCATATTTTCACCATAAAATTGTCTGGTTTCAGTATCTCTGCCTCCTTAAGATTTTTGTCATAATGCTTTTTAATTTTGGAAGCTGCATGGGTCACTGGATAACTCTCTACTGCATTCATATTACCTGGTGTCATGTCTAATACAGATGATTCTAAAGTTTGTACAACTTCATTCAAGTTTTGTTTGGCATCTACTGTCCCCTCTTTCGTCCCTTTCATCAAATCTTCTATTTTGCTAAGACCTGCGTTCACTCGCTGAAACCCTGTTATTATTATCCTTTGTATAGTAATCTGCCATTCCTTTTCTATTTCTTGCACCACTATTCCAGAACTTTGGGATTGAACAGACCAAGTCTCCATTTGTTCTTTTGAATTTTTGGGGTCCATCTCAGGCTTTGGGGTTTGTA